ATGGAAAACTCCTCACCGGGACCCACTTTACACGCGGAAGGATCACCGGGACCCATTTCACACGCGGAAGGAGGATCGGCCAGCGAAGCCGGCCGATCCGATTGGCCCTCTCTTTCATGGAAAACTCCTCACCGGGACCCACTTTACACGCGGAAGGATCACCGGGACCCATTTCACACGCGGAAGGAGGATCGGCCGGCGAAGCTGGCCGATCTGACTGGTAGCACATATAAAACAGGAAAAAGACAAAACGTCAACAACCTCTCCCAGAAAGGCAGAAGGCAAATAAGACCCCCCCCCCGGCCCTTCTTCCAACAATGAGCCCTTTATAGCGTCCGTGGAGCAAGAAAAATCAACAAGAAAATTTCTCTCCTCTTTTCTTCCTTCTTGAAGGTGGTATCCTATTCTGGTTTAAGTGGAACAGGTCTGCGAACCAAATACGACCCCTCCCCTCCCCCCAGCGACCAAATACGATCCCCCTGTTGGGGGAATCCACAACGATGATGTGCCTCATATGCAAAAGCTCAGTATCATTTTTCTTCGTCCTATTCGACAATGAATTTATGTGTGCAATTTCCAACAGAAGTAGAATGCGTGGCGCATCCCCAAAAAGGAATTGATCAAGGGTGACAGCTTTTTTCACTGTCCTTTTCATGTGAGCAATAATTCACCAACCAACTTTTGCCTTTTACCTTACCTTCGCGATTTCACGATATTTCAGATATGAAGCTGTTAACATGTGTTAAGTGTTTGGGGAATGAGACGCTATGTCGTGATACATGTAAAGGGTATTACTGTTATAAGTCTGTAATGGAAGGTAAGTCGCTTGAACCTTCTAACATGTTCATGAAAGAGTAATTGTTGTAATTCAGCTCCAGCAGCGAAACCCGTGAAAAGAGGATGTCTCAATGGTACAGATGCACTTTCTAGGGTCAGTTTTCCTTCAACCATTGATATTGACTAATTCAATAAACTGGTAGTTGTTTGAGTTGCCACTGTAGATTAGGTGTTGTGGAATTCAAGTATACTTTTGACAAATACCTTTGACGTACAGATCGTTTGGCGCAAGACTAATCGTCCATCTCTTCTTCCCTTTTCTCCTTAAAGAGGCATTCCACAATTGCCTTAGAGGTGGTATCCTATTCCGGTATAAGTGGAACAGATCCGCAGTCACATAAGGTGTGCAACTTTTCCGCCTCCCCCCCCCTATCCCCTCTAAAGTGCTATAGCAAGTGCTCTAGAAGTTTGCGATTGCTGGGGACAACGCCCATTGCAAGTTCCAGTGACGATGAACGTACGAATACTAGATGGCGTTGCACTTGGTGTTCCCGCCCTTTTCGTGTGTGCAGCAGTGTGGCTCTAGCCTTCACCTGTCTGGTTTTCCACTGAGTGTCTCTGCGTCTCTAATCTCCGCATGCTCGTCCAATCCTCGAGAACTCTGGGCTTTTTTGATAATTTTTTTGTGTTCCTTGTATTACGATAAGTCAACGAACACCTACAGTTTCGAATTCGGGCCTCACTACGCCCGAATTGCAATCACGGAGTTATCTTTAGGACTAGCCCCCAAATGGGAACCCAATGTGCATTGTGGTGTTTGTGCGGCGAACTGTCGTTACCTGGCTCTTTTTTCGAATGGGGGCGATGCAGCTATGAACGAGCTGACCTGGCGTACCGTCCCATGTGCCTAGCTGCGAGCGCGCCAACGGCTGCGAGGATCGAGATCGACGGGAGGCAGGGAGGGATGTATAAGAGAGGAAGATCCGTACAGGAATGCGCAGGTGTTACCCTTTTTGCCTTGCCATATAGACTGTTCTACGAATCACAGTAGGTAGCGCGTTTCTACATGCTTTTTTTGTTATAGAGGAGAGGAAAGGGATAGGGGAGGGGGGTAACAGTGAGCAAGACGCCTTTTCTTTGCTAGCCTGCGTCCTCGCCATTCTTAGTCAAGCCTTACGGAACAAAATATTTCAGTGAAGGCCCAGGCAAGCAAAAAAAAACAGGCGTGACCTAGTTACCTGGCTCCCCCCCCCCCAAATGCACAACAGCTTATGTGCCTACTACCACTGTGTACAAAAGCCGGCTTATCCTATAGAATTGAACTTTATTGTTAATTTTTAGGTAAACGAATGTACATTACGAGATTCTGTCATAGGCAGGCTTCGTATTGTGGAAAACCTCTGTATTTGTACGTCAGATAGGTGAGTTTTTAACTATTTTACAGAAGTAACTCAATTACTACCCCAGTATTACTTTTGTTGATTCAGGTGTAACTCTGCTTCAAACTACGTCATCGTCTCCGTTCCATGCCTCATTCTGATTTTACTTAGTCTTCTTGTGTTGTGATAATTATAGGGGATTCAAAAAGCTGGTTCAATTCAAAAAGCTGGTTTAATTTAAAAAGCTGATTACACGCTGTGATAATTTGGACTACATCGATATCATAAGCTCAATTATGCGCCATAGATTTCTATATTAAAAATTCACTAATAATGACCAGTATTCAAATATTGTATCCTAAACATACATAAGCTAAATATTATACAGATATCCTTCTGCCCTATACCATAGTGTTATAAATATTATTTATAATTTCAAAATCGCGAGTAGTCGTGTTCAGTGGGACGCGTGCAGTTGCGACGCGGCCATTGCCACAAATCAATACGCGCCATTTTGCTGCCGTGCTCACGACTTCCCGCGCCTTGTGCTAACACGATTGTTTGTTAAGTGTAGATTCTGCTTTCATTGTTATATTTCTACTGATGATGTGTTCTGTTTCACTTAGTTTTGCAGATGTGTTGTAATTCGTTAAAGTTGTGAATGGTATTATACAGGATCTCTTACTAGCCTCTGGGGTGGGGGGTGTATATCGTTAGTCTTGAGTCGTTGCGAGTTAGGCATTGAAAGCGCTTCGTTCGCGCCGGGACCATTCCATTTCAACGTGGATTCAGTACTACGTTGAGGCAAGAGGACTACAGGGTTGTTCACTGGTGATGCTGGGGCGTGTCAGGGAAGCTGGATTTGGCGCAGCGCCAGCCTGTTCTCCACTAGTTGTTGAGGAGAACAAGCGACAACAGTTAGTGGGAAAACGGGTTGGCACCGTGCCAAAGCCAGCCCCGGCACTGCAGCATTCGCAGCGAACTGTAGCTACGAAGTGCTTTGCATGG